TCGGGTGCTCAGGTCAAAATACGGGTACGACTTGAGCTCGAAGGGTTGGGTCATATTTATTTGATATTTTTAGGGCCATTGCACGTGAGCCAAGTAGAGGTGACCGGGCCACATCAACTTCTTATGTCCTGGCACATTGACACAACTTTCCCTTCTAAAAATGAAGCTCACACTAATCAAGAAGAAGACAAACTTTAAATAATAATGTAGATGATAGACAACACTCGTGTTGTTTTAAGACATACTTTAGTAAAGAGTATTCTCCACTAACTTCAAAAAAAAAAAAAAATTCCCACAGGCTTCACGACTATACGAAGCGGTAGCGCTCGAGAGATTTGTGAACTTTAGCAGCCATGCAGCCATTATTATTATTTTTTTCATTTCATATAGCGTTCCTCAGTCATCACACACACATAAATAAACTATAATTAAAAAAAAAAAAACCAAAACTAAAGGAAGAAGAAGAAAAAAAATCTACCTAATTAATAAACTTTATCAAGAAAGGACCTAGCAATCCTCCCACCAGCTCCCTTAGGAAAGAACCCCCCGGGCGCGCTCGCGCTCCCACCCCCGTACACAACCTTCAATATCTCCTCCGGAGTCCTGTCAAACGCCAAAGAGTTCTCGTCGCCGGCGATGACATTCCCGGCGATCTTCCCCTCCGCACCCTCCTCGATGCCCTCGTCCTTCACGCACGAGCCGCAGCGAGCTTGTTGCGGAGGCCGGAGACGCGGGCGGTGAGCTCGGCCACCGTGATGTTGTAGGGTACGACGGGGCGTTGCTTTTATGTAGAGCAGGTTCCGGATGACCGCGTCTTGGGCGGACTCTACGCCGAGGAGGCCAGCCACGAGCTGTTTTTTTTTTATTTTATTTAGGAGGCAAAAAAAATCGTAATTATAAACTCTAGATGATGTTATTCATGTCAGGTTGCGATGTCGCATGAGAATAAATTAAATTTTTTGTCGTCACGTTGAGTCCTCCTGATAAAACAGTTATCGCTCTAGTTGTAATAAAATAGTTTTGAACTTCCAAGTGACTATATCAAGGGATCATATTTGCAGTTAACTTAATTAGTAAATTGATTAAAAATCGCAATTATATATATATGTGTAATTAGTTGTTGCAAACAAATCACAACTATCTAGCTACGCAGTGTTCATACTGGACGGTGGTTAAGATTTTAGCTAGTTATTACCCTCTTGCTTTGAGGACTGATCAGGTTAGGGTTTGCTCCCACGTATCCGGTGAGCCCAACATAAGGGATGATATAAGAGGCTATCAGATAGTTGAGGCTGTTTGCGTACGGGTCAAAGGGAGGCTCCAACTTTCTGCCCATCGCATTCTCAATGATCTTGTCAAAATTGCTCGCAGTCAGATCCAAAAATGGCCTCGGAAACCCTTTCACTGTTTTCTGGATTGCTCTGCAAAGATTGCAATAACATATTAGAAAAGACAGTTAGATGGATATATGGTTAAATACGCATGTTTGAGCTCATCGTAGCTCAAACAGCAGGTAATTGCGTTTAAATCCATTTCGATATATAGTTCATTAGCCTATAGCATCCTTATTTATGGTTGCAAAATGCAAGTCATTATCGGTTCACAAGCATTGATCGATATTGCACGCCTTTCCTATACATATATTTTGTAACTTATTGCGATTTATTTAGCAATGTTAGATGATTAGGGAAAGAGATACAAAATCCGATCTAAATTCACGGGGCATAAAACTAGCAGCCAATGGATCATATTCGCTATACAATTAATGCTCTAAGGCGATCAAACCTTGGGAGGATCATATATTCAGCTTCATATTTTGCACCGATTCAAGGATATTCAATCATTTAAACATCAGTTATCTAGTGACGTTTAATGAATGTTTCTTTTGTGACAATATATATATATATCTTTTTAGCCCATGTATATTACACCCTGAGCATGGCAACGGATCAGAATTACCGGACACTCACCTGATATGCCCGACCTCTTGGTAGGCGAACTGCGTAATAATGTCCCGAACAAACGGGCAAAGGTTGGCCTTCTTGGCCCCAACGGGTGGAGGCCCGCCCATGGTGAGGGCCGGCGCCTCCTTATCGAGACCATAGCCAAGAGCCCCCCACAGGAAGAACTCAGCCTCCAGGTACTCTAGATTCAACGGGAACTCTAGGAGATCGACGTCGCCCCTCGGCAAAGCCGACGTCTGAGCACGTGATTTCGGGATGTAGGAGGTCTCGGAGAGCGAGGAGCGGGAGTTTGAGAAGAGGAGGAGGAGGGAGGCGAAGAGAGACGAAGGGGAGAAGGAACCCATTTTTTGTTTAATTCAGCGAGTGAGGGTTTAGTTACCTTAAATAGGGGTCCATCACTCTCTCGTAGGTTAGTTAGGGAGTGTAGACCATTTCCGAGGTTTGGAGACAAATTTGGGAGTGGTTATGCCTAATGGCTGTTAGTTGAGCGAGTCCACGTACGAATTCTTCAGTTAAATAACGGATGAGCCCACTTCTCAAGCTAATACGTAGTACTATTTTTTTTAAAATATTTTTAATCAATAGTTTTCTGATCAAAATTATATAACTGTTAATAAATATATTAATGCCAACAGGTTGGTTACACCAAAACATAATTGGAAAATGATAACGACACGTTAATAATTTCTACACTACACCCACCCACGGTACGCTGATGTGTTAGTGCTGGCTTTTAGTACAAAACACGGCAGTCCAAACGGTTGGAACTGTTTGGGCAAGTGCAGCCCCCACTAGTTAAAAACTAGGTATCGCTGATGGCAACATCGCTGACGGTTAATAGCCGTTAGCGATGTTTATATCTCTGACGGGACAAACCGTCAGAGATGTTTTAGATACCGTCAGGGATAAAACATCGCTGATGGGAAATGAACATCGCTGACGGGTAGCCCGTCAGCGATGTTGGATATATATTGAATTTTTCACCGGTTTTTTGCTACGAACAGTTAAACCTAAACGCGCTGCGGCTCGCCGCTGCCTCCCACCCAATCGCGTCTTTGCCGCCCGCCGCCGCCGCCCGCCCGTCTGTCTGCGTCCAGCTAGTCGTTTTATTTAGTTCGTCGTCGCCGCCTGAGTTCGTCGACGACCGCACGTCGCCGTGCTGCGTCATCCAGCAGTCTCTTCTCACCCTTTGGCTGCCACGCCCACCACCGTCACGTCCACCGCAGCGTCCAGCGCGGCCGTGACCACCGCTAATTAACCTGAGGTACATATTATCTGAAAAATGGAACCTCCAGTTTATCCTACCAAATATCTTTGTATCAGTGTCAGGACAAACCCCACTAATTCAAATTGCCTGTCAATAGTTATGTAATATTTCTTTGTATATGACCATGTCCATAGTGATGGAAATTCCTTTTTTTATGTATGTTTCTGTGAATAACTTCTTTGTATATCTAGTTTAGCATACAAAGATTTGATGACAGAGATGGCATCCTTAACTCAAAACTCTGTAGATAAATTTTGTTATCAAGCAGCATAAACATCTTGAACTCTGAGGCTTCATAGTTTATCACTCAAAGCATCTTCTTTGTCCAAACTTTTTTGTTGTGACTCTACAACTAGCATACGTGTTGGTTATGTAAGCCTTGGATTTCATAAGGAATGTTCTATGTTCTTAGCAATAATATGGGAATGTTCCCATCTTGGAGTGAATGATTATATTAAAAAAAATTGTGTCATTGAGCATGAGTGAGACTGATAGATGATGGAAGCTAAACAAAAGAAAACACTTCGCCAATGCAAATCATCTTAAAACATCAATTTGATAAAGGCTCTAAGTTGCAGAAGCAAATATGAAAGGGACATTACAAAATAAATGGTTAAAGTGCATCACAGACAAATTCACCCAGATATAGCCGGCTTTTATTATTGATTTGCATAAGATGCGTAGAAGAGGAGGCAAAAGATTCTTAATCAGTGACATCAAGATTTAACATCTCAAAGCATTCATTTCTCGGGTAAAAAGATTTAGTTGCTTATGTTGTATTAGTTCTCCTATATATAGAATTTGGCCATTCGTAAATACATGTTTGATTTCTCATAGAAACCTCTTTGTGCTACTTCACTATTTACTGTCCCTATATCAACAATTTAATGCCGGGAAAGTCTTATCTCAAGGAACCGCTCACAACTTCTGTGAATGCCGCCCTATGTGTAGAAAATTTAAAACATTTGATAGTTTCTGATAGCAACAATTTGCCCAGATTTAGGATCAATTTTGTGAATGCCCTATGCTTGGAAAGTCTTATCTCAAGGAACCGCTCACAGCCTCTTTGTTCATGTTGAAGAAAAAATGTCAGAGAAATAAACTAAATCGATGGAAGAAAGATTATGATCATCATACGGTGACTACTTCATTTGCCAAGATTGAGGATCAATTTTGTAGGACAACGGTGTAAAGTCTTTTAATCTTCTATATATATTCTCTCTGCTTCCTAGAATATTTGATAAATAAAACTAATAAATATATTTTTAAATCTTAGAACACTCTCTTTATCCCGCTGCCAGAACTGCACAGGAGGACGATGATTCAATTTAAGACGGGGTACGATGATGATGAGAATAAGAAACAAAAGCTAGAATTGGCTAAGAAAATGCAGGTTAACTAATTATCTTAGCTCTTATTAGTCTATTCTTTTGTTGGGAATTTATTGTTTGCACTCTTCCTTTGGTCATCTTAATTATCATACATGAATTATATGTGTGAATGTGTTAAGGAAGATGCATGCATATATATAACAAAAGGTATATGGAATTAAATATTATTATAAAGAGATGGCACTCTTTTAGTATTGATAAATCATGTTTTAAAAAGACTAATGCTACCAACAATCTTACTAAAGTCAATGCCAAACACGATTGACCATTAGAGAGTTCAAGACTCCATAATGTTCTTTCAAGCCTATCATGAGAAAATCACTCCATTGACATGATATAATATTTATGTTTGGTGGAAAATTTATAGTAAATAAATGAAAGAAATTTGATTTGTATTCTCTCGATCTCAATTATAATTTAGATTTCCTGATTACAAAAGAGAGGAGAATGATCTGGATTCTCCCCTTTGTTTAAGTCTGGGTTCTTCACGGTGGCGATGGAGTGCCTCCCTCGAATGCTCGCGTCGAGTTTGCTCTCCGTTAACGATCCGCACGTCTTGATTTACTGGAATGGTATCTCCTCCTCACGATTTGACGTTGTGGAGAACTTGCGTAGTAAGTTTAAAAACTCTGAACGAGTTAGAGAACTCTGAACGAGTTTAAACTCTTGTAAAAGAGTTAATTTGAACCGAAAGTCGGTTAATCAGCCAAGGCCGAAAGCTCCAATAACTTTGTTGTTGCGGGAAGCTCGAAGATGATCTGCTACTGAGAAGATGATCCCAAGAAGCTGATCTCTAGATCTCTAAGATGCTCCAAGATCTCCCCCTTTGCTATCAAGTCCTAGATCTCAAAAGCCCCTAAGCCTCAGGACCCAAACTCAGTTGAGTTTACCCCTATTTATAGGGGATTAAAGTGTGTAACTGTCCCCTTAATTCGCTCCTAAGTGGGGCTGAATGGGGTGTAACCGCCCCCTTAAACAGCTCCCTAAATCACGGGGAAAACGGTTTTGAAACCGTTCAGTTCGTGCTTTGAACGAGTCAAACGCTGAAAAATAGCGTTTATGGCCCAAACTCTGTGTTTTAGACTTAAAACGTAGAATTGAGCCTATTTTGATGGCTGAACGCACAGGTCGCGCTGCGTTGTGAACTCTGCGTTTTGGGCTTGGGACGCAAAGTTGAGCTCTGCATGAACTCTGCGTTTTGAGTCTGGGACGCAGAGTTAAGCTCTGAATGAACTCTGCATTTTGAGTCTGGGACACAGAGTTGAGCTCTGCATGAATTCTGCGTTTTGAGTCTGGAACGCAGAGTTGAGCTCTGTACGAACTCTACATTTTGAGTCTACGAACTCTGCGTTTTGATGTGGTGATGTAGGGAGGGACTCTGCGTTTTGCTTCTGGGAGTTTGGAACACGGCCACGAGCTATGCGTTTTGAATCTGGGACGCAGAGGTGAGCTCTGCGTCTGGATTTGAAGAGACCGTCAATTTGTAGTCTCTTTTGCTAGAGCGTTGCAAAAACCATCATCTTGTAATCTTCGTCTTGGCTCTTTAAAAATACGAGAGTCGTCAGATTGTAACTCCCGATGTTGATTGTGAAGGCTGTTGATTAGAGCTTTCATCAGTTGTTATGAAGGTCGTCAGATTGTAACCTTTATCGATCTATGTAAAAATCTTTAAATTATAGTCTTCTGGAAGTCGTCAGATTGTAACTTTCATCATTGATATTTGATGGGGATCAGCTATCTGTTGTGATTTTTAGACAGCCTACAATTTACAATAACTTCATTCACAAACTTATAAGTCTATTTAAGAGCCCATTCTATGCTGAAGCCAAATTCACACCACTTTAAGATTTTCATTAACAAAATTGAAATGACATGCATCTATTATAATCCATTTTTTTGACTGAATTTCTAATATTACTTGATATCTAGTGCTTCCATCTTGCTTATTTAAATAAAAAAATAAAAAGGAGGAAGAGGGGGTACGCAATATAGTTACAGAGTATAAGAACTTCATAGAAAACATTAGGTGGAGAGTAAATTGCCCATAAACCCTTCTTCACATGTAGTACTTTTATGTTGTACAAAACACCCTTCAACCATTTATTAGCACTTAGCCTCCTCAATTGTGGAACTACTTCATCTTTTATTTTACTTGTTCAGGTAAATATATCTTTTATTTTTGAAAGGCCAATTCTTAAATTTATTTTTTTGTCTTATAGGAAGCTCTGGAAAACACATATGCTGAGCTTATTGCACAGAGCAAGGAGCCCCTTACTAGAGAGCAGAATTATAATGTGAGCCATTTAGTTTGTGGACTTCCCTAAAAGGGGAGGAACATGTGGATGAGAGTTGGAGCTCAGAGGGTGTCTACACCATTCCAGCCTCCGCCGATTTCAACGCCATCGACTATGCCCTCGGAGCCCTCTTACATGCCGCAGGAGGATTGCACTCAGCAAGCGATGCAGCTTGTTTCCTCTGTGATGAATATGTTAGATGGTCAGATTCCCGAGGAGATGTGGGAGGATATTCAAGAGGAGCTTATGTGAGTGATCCACCCTACTGCTACGTTTGCGATGGTTTCCAGGCAAATAATGCAATCTTGTAGAAGGCGGGTTCCTACTCGGGTACAAAGCCAGATTATGAACTTTTTGGCCACTCAAAAGGCATTTACTGGTAGTGGAGAGAG